TATAACATATATGTAATAAACGATATTTAAAATGTTAGGTTATTTATAAATCAATTATCAATATTTTTTTAAATTTTAAAGTTATTTAAATTTTAAACACATGGACGCAATTTTGTCTTCTTTTCATTTTTATGAGCGCTCAGACTGAAAGGTCTATAGACTGATTTAAAAAACCAAATATCTACAATGACAATGTTACATAAACATAAGCTATTTTGTTACCTAATAATTAGAACTGACATCATCAATCTAACAAAAATAGAGTGCAAGGTCCCAACATATACTTTCACTTAGGGAAAAGAGATAAATGGGACTCAGTAATGTCATCAGTGTCCTCTGAAAAAGATGAACTAATTGCTGTTAAACGTCCAGTGGCAAGTTGAATGCATAAGCAGGACATTATTTTGTTTTTTGTTTATGATTTTCTAATTCAAGGATTTTCTTAAAAAAGATATTAAAAAAAAACTTTCCCCATTTTGTTCGCTTGAATTTAATGCTTACTTGAACTATTTTATGATCAGACTTATTATATGGAATATGTTTTATTTCTTTGTTTTATGAATATATTTATTATCAGCCTTTGTAACATGTAATTTAATTTTATCCTTGATACTTCTAAATTTTTCAATTATGTACCATATGAAAAATCTACAATATAAGATTCTATTTAATCTTTTATGAAGTTAACTTTTTTTTATATAATTGTTCTTTATTAAAACAGTAGTTTAACAAAATATCACAAAAAAATTAAATTATGTAAATACTATCTTTTCTCCATGTTTATTTCAAATTCTATGGATTACATTGAATAATTACCTGTAATTACCTGCTTAAATTAATCACTATCAAAACAATTCCCAATTGTCCCACATTTAAACTTCCCAATTGTCCCACACACATTTTCACGATTGTCCCACAAAATTTCATTACTTTTTTACCTGTAATTTGAAAAAGTGGGACAATCGGGAAGACACCAATAATAAAGCATCAATCTACAAAAAAAAAAAACCCCAAAACAGTTGTTTAAAGAACAATTCAAGGTCTTTCCACCATTGAATTTCTAAATCATTGATAAGAAATCACTTCCGGTATACTCAAAGTTACTATTGGCGTCAAATCATAAGTTTCTTCGTAAATATATATGGTTTCTATGTACTTTTAACCTGAAATAAGGGAGATAATTTGCTACTTCCAATTTCGAACATGTCACTTCCGGTCTAAACAGATAGCTTTCACACTGATTCCAATAATATATGGTTTGGACATACTATTAACGGAAATAAGAGAGACAATTTGCTACTTCCAGTTTACAGAAGGTCACTTTTGGTATCAAATGATAGGTTTATAGAAATAAGAAGATGTGGAATGAGTGCCAGTGAGACAAATCTCCATCCAAGTCACAATGTGTAAAAAGTAAACCATTATAGGTCAGAGTTCGGCCTTCAACACGGAGCCTTGGTTCACACCGAACAGCAAGATCAAAAAGCTCAAAAAGGGCTCAAAAATTACTAGTGTAAAACAATTCAAACAGGAAAACCAACGGTCTCATCTATTTAAAAATGAGAAACGAGAAACACTTATGAACCACATCAACAAACGACAACCACTGAACAACAGGTTCCTGACTTAGGACAGGTGCAAACAAATGCAGCGGGTTAAAAAGTTTTAACAGGCGCCAACCTTCACCCTAACATGAAACAGTAGTATAACATTACAACATAGAAAGACACACTATAAAATATCAATGGAAATGACAGGACTCGATCAAAAAGAAATATTAACAAAAACAAGTAAACATAAACTGAACAAATAAATTTGATATATGACACAATATAAATACAATATGTAAAACAATGTCAAAAAGACAACTATAACCTGGGACAAAATGACGTTAAATAAAATAACGTACACAGGTAACTTTAAATATAATAATTTTGTAGTTAGGAGTACGAAAATATTTTTTATAAAATAAATTTGTTGTTCATTGTAAGAGAACAGAAGTGAAAATTTATCGAAAAACTAAATACTTATCAAAGGTGGTACATATTAAAAATAGTAAGACGAGATATAACACAAAATAAGTAAACATTGAATAACAAAAATGCATTACAAATTGTGTCAACAGGTCAAATTAACAAGAAAGTACGATTTTAGAAGATCGTTGTTACTGAAAGCTAGTTAAATGCAAAAAAAAAAATAATTAATAATCAAAATCATGCATCAGATACTAAAATCGAGCAAAAAGTAAAACAACAAAAATACCGAACTCCGAGGAAAATTTAAAACGGAAAGTCCCTAATCAAATGGTAAAATCAAAAGCTCAAACACATCAAACGAATGGATAACAACTGTCATATTCCTGACTTGGTACAGGCATGTAGAAAATGGTGGATTAAACCTGGTTTTACAGCTAGCTAAACCTCTTACTTGTATGACAATCGCATAAAATTCCATTATATTGACAACGATGTGTGAACAAAACAAACAGACTTAATAGGTAAAAATGTCAAAAATAGGGGTACAGCAGTCAACATTGTGTTATAGTCTTAATCACTATAAAAACAAACAAATATGTCAACAAAGAAGAACAAAAAGGCATATAGCAAAAACAAAAGACAAGAATACAAAAATTTACCATAGCACAATAACACAATGACGGGATTAGAAGTACCGAGTCATGTCAAATGGATATTACCAAAATAGACTAAACAATAAAAGTAATAATTTACAAAGACTAATAAAAGAATACTATAACACGTTATTAAGATGATAAACAACGTCAGTACCTAGAATCTATACTTCAAGACCATCGTGTATTATTTGTGGAGTTGATACGGAATATTTATCAACAAGGTCTTGGTAACAAAACACATCCCTGGGAATTAGTGTTTTAACACCATAGACAGTCAAAGAAGACATGACTTGTGCAATGCCAAAATAAAAGTATCGACAGGCAGTAGGATAGTTAGGATTTAACATTATAATAAATATGTATAATGGTATATATATAAAAAGCAATCTCTAAATACTATTTATGCATGCCGATTAAATACCATTTATGGTCTCTAGTTACTTTTCCATAAAAGATATGCACGAATCGCTACATCCAATTGACTCAAGGTCTCTTCCGATTGACGTTTTTCAATGTAAGAAGTCTATAACATATAATGCAAAAATCCTATGGCTTTATCATGTACCAGTATGAAGTTATAGCAAAGGTCAAAATCTAGAACGTCAAATTCTCATTTGACATTGACCTCAATTTCAAGGCCATAAAAGGAGGATCTCAAATCAGTATACCTTAGGTCTCTACTATGAATGGTCCATTTATTACATCTCCATACAACTTATTTTAAACTTTCCTGGGAGAAAACACCTATTAAAGGGGCATTTAAATTTGCTACGAGATATAAAAAAATAAATAAGATAGGATTTTTTTTAATCATTAATGAAAGATGATTTCCTTGATAGAGGATTGCTGCTCACAAGGAAGCTATTAAGCCAAGAGTTCCAAATGGTGAAGTAGAAATCATCCCTTCGTAAATTTTACGGACGCCATCACGAGTTGGTTGACCGTTATGGAATAACCGTTTCACAGATGATATCGGATATGTTCCTTATGTCGTAACTACAATACCCTTCCCTTTTCACGAATGTGACTTACCTAATTAGACTATTTACCGGATTTGTAATAACATAAGCAACACGACGGGTGCCACATGTGGAGCAGGATCTGCTTACCCTTCTGGAGCACCTGAGATCACCCCCATTTTTTGGTGGGGTTCGTGTTGCTTAGTCTTTAGTTTTCTATGTTGTGTCATCTGTACTATTATTTGTCTGTTTGTCTTTTTATTTTTGGCCATGGCGTTGTCAGTTTGTTTTCGATCTATGAGTTTGACTGTCCCTCTGGTATCTTTCGTCCCTCTTTTAGTTCAATTTTGTCAAAATAAGCTAAGAAACATCGTCGACTTAATTGAATCCGTATTCATGTTACCTTCAATTTAGCCCCTAAGCTAGAGATTGGTTACGTATATATTAGGCGTGTTCAGCCATTAAAAGGAAAAAGATATCCAAATTAAAAGTGAAACAAATGTGAACAATTTCGTTGACTGATTCGATCCACAAAAACATTCTTATACAGGCAAAAACGATGATCAACCTATTTTTGTAACCTATAACATGAAATCAAACAAACTTAGAAAAATCCAATAGCACGTGGTCGCAATCTATTTATATTCATGCTTATTTTTATATCGGGTTATGTGACCGTCGGCAGTCTTTGGAGGTCATCTCGATTGTTAATCAGATGGCGTCTAGACGAAAATACAAACGAAATGTTGATATATATATATTATCGAGTCCATGCATTGTTAATTATTTATTTCAGACTTATTATAATTTGGGTATACGTTTTAGTATGTTTTAAATCAAATAAGAGAATTTGAGTCAAATCGGTGAACATGAATCTTAAAGCTTTAAAAGGGACGGTACTCTTTCGACCAACATTTTAAAGTTACGACATGTCGCAACGAATAATTTAGTAAAAAAAACTTTATTATTTATTCGGTTTGTGAGGGAAAGCGAAAACAATCAAAAGTTAAGATTTTGATCATGACCTTGAACTTTGACCATGACCTCGAATTTCTTTTGGTGGACCAAGGAAATCAAATTATAATACCCTAGGTCTCTATAACTTACTTTTCATGAATAACATATCTGCACCATTATGTCAAAATCAGAAAAAATTAACTCTCATATGGAGTCTCTGTATCACATCAGACAAAATTCAACGATATAACGAGCAATTTTGAAAAATAGATGTGTCAATTTCTGTCATGCGTACGGTTGCGAAGGAGAAGACATAACAAGATGGACCGTGTACGGGGAGATAACTCTCACAGGAGAAAATTTACGGTTACACAGGGTCAACTGAGAAAGCATATTCATTCTTCGATATCATATATCAAAGATCTTGCGAAACGAAAAAAATCAAAAAAGAAAAAAAGAAAAAAATATTAATCAGAACAAAATCAAAAGGTATTTCCACAGGAAAGTGGAAAGATCTAATTACAATATCAATATTAATATAGAAAAAAAAAATATAAGTCATGTATGTATTTGAAGCTATAGACGCTTTGTCTTTTTAAGAAGTACATGCACTTATTCTTTCTCTGTCTACATCCGATTCTACTTATTCTTCTTTCCCTTTATTGAGCAACATTTCATACTTTCTACTGATTTAAATATCACTGCTTGAGGATGTTTTACCATCCCGAATGGTTTTCTTGGTTATCTGCAATTTGGATTCAAAATCTTTTACAGTAGTGCTATACATAGCCCTCTCTTTACATCTTTCTAGCTCTGTAATTCGACTTTGAAATCCTTCCCTCTTTATTCGTTTTTCAGCGTCTATCAGTAACTCAATATATTGAACGGTAGAGAGCGTGTTTGGTAGTAGGGCTATCGCCTTTAGTTGGTTAGTATGCTGTGTTATCATTTTCAAATAGTTGTCAATAATTTCTTGTTTTTCCTCAATTTCAGAATGTAGGATGGCAACTATTTCTTCTTGTGACAGTTTCTTCTGCTTTGCCGCTTCGTATGCTGCTTTTTTTTCATGATAGGTTTTTGTAACTTTGGTTTTTACGACCTTTAATACATATGGAACATTGTGGTGAAGCTGCCAAACGCATTTATTTGGACATTCTGTACATTTCCCATCGGCATTCATGGTAATGCATCTTGCCTTGTCGTCATCGTTGGAAAAGGCACAGTTAGCATGACAGGTGTAGTTGCATGTGAAACAATGTGTTGTATGAATTCCTTGACCACTTATATCTTCCTTTTCTAGCCGACTCTCTTCAACTTGATACGTAAAATCTTTATTGTCATTAATTTCGCGATTGTGTTGTTTAAATATCTGCACTTCTTCCTGAATACTGTTGAGCATGATAAAACCACTGTCTAGTTCTATCTGCAAATTGAAAATTGTGTTTTCTTTTGCCTGACGCAGACATAAAACCTCAGTTGTGAGGGAAAGACTTTTTGGGTGAAGCTGTTCTAAGTGTTTGAAAAAGGTGTCATAACTTTCCATAGCTAGATTCCAGAAAAATTTTGTAGATGTTGAAATTGGATTTTGATCACTATGACTGGAAAAAATAGCAGAGTTGTTTACTGGAAAATATATTTTATATGGTATGGGTTCCTCGTCTAATTGTGATAAAGCCTGGATAACAGGGGGTTCTTGTCCGTCAGCAAATGTAACAATTGTACATATATTACCTTTTATGTCTTTACCAAAGAGTGCCAGTATGGATCTGAATATGTACTGCTGCGTAAATGTCAACCTTGCATCTGAAGATTTCACGACAAAACAAATAGCATCAATACATGTGACTCCTTTTCCTTCCGAAGCGAGGAACAACTCACGAATCTGATCAACAATAGCTGCATCGCTTTGTAATCCATCAGTATGTCCAAATCCGGGAGTATCAATTATAGTGATATTGTATGGTAGTCGACTGGTCTCGTCTGTATATATTGTGTAGCAAGTTACCCATTGAGTTTGCGATTGGGCCTGAAATACATTTAAAAATATAAAAATCAATTTAATAAACAGAATGATACGTCCTTATTGGCATATTGAAATTGTTGCAAGAATAAAATGGGATATTTAGAAGGCATTTAATCGGAAAACAAATCAAATGGCTGGCTCTATCAAAAACATGCATGATGATACCATATTAGGCGTACCCATAACTGAAAATTTTCCAAACCAAAAGCTAGTCTACATTCACCAATGCTAATAACTGCAATATTTTTTTTGTAATTTTATCTGACATTCTGGAGCTATTTCACTATATTTAAAAAGAAATGTAAAACCCCATAACTTTGGAATTACATACCAGATTTTTTTTTTTCAAATCGAACGGTGCGTTATATTCACCAATTCCAACTATTGATTTATGTTATTGAGTTTTAAGCAAACTCAAGAAATGGTACAACAACATGAGTCAAATTTAATTAAAGTCCCGTAATTCTAGAACGACAAACAAGAAAAATAAATAAATCAAAATGGAGCTTTCTTTTAACATCCCAACAATATGTAAAGTTTTTGGGAAATTAATTCAGGCATACTGGAGTTGGTGTGCTATATGAGAAAAAATGTCTTGAATCGAACGCTAAGAATCCCGTAATTCTAGAAGGACAATTTTCAAAATTGGAAAAGGGATTTCTTCCGTCAATCCTAACATTGTTTTAAAATTGCACAAGAATAATAATAATATAATAACAATATAATAATAATAATAAATACTTTATTTAAAGAGGGTAAAATCAGTTAGTATATTACTAATCTGCCCTGATGCCCTCTGAATAACTCAAAATATAATAATATAATATATAAACAAGTCTAAATTGAAAACAACGTTCAAACCTATGATTGCATTGGATAAAAACCGCAATTTTTATACGTGTGCATGTAAAAAAAAATTTATCTTGGTAGAGGGGTCTAAATACAGCACAAACAACATTTTCCAAATGACCCAAAAAGTGAAAAGTATATTTTAACAAAACGCATTTGACTAACAGGTCGAACAACTGATGTTCTTAAACCCTGCTGACTGCCATTGACGATTGCCAAATAAATTGATCTCGAGATGTAACATGGATCTTGATTATTAATTTAGTACCAAACAGAAAACAATAAACTAGCGGAGAAGATGGTATACCGCAAACACGAGGTGCAAAAATTTGTACACCATATCCGGATACATATACATACTTACAGCTTTTTATGCAAAACAAATGGTAAAAACATACAGATTCGTTTTTTGAACATAATTTTTAATGATGTACAAGGCAAATATATGGATTTTTAGAATATAGATAAATTTCTGAGATAATCATTATTTGGTTGGTTTTACATGTTGTATATGAATCTGATAATTAGCTTTTTTGTTCTAGAAACAAGAAATTATGGTACCTTTGTTTGAACTGTTCTATCTTTTCTATCTTTTTTTATTTCTACAGGAATACCAAAGAACAGTACCGGAATATTGAAATGTCTTTTTCATAAAATTTGTTCTTTAACGTTATTGTCCGATGAACGCAAAGAATATCTTGCATTGACATTTTTGTTATTGTTAAATAATTGACACAGATAATCAGGTGCAATACTATTTACACACTTATACATTAATACTTCTTTGTGATATATGATTCTTTTTTGAAAAGTTAACCATCCTAATTGTTTGAATACAGTTTTTGACGGTGTATCATATGCTTTGTTAAGAATGATTCTGGCTGCCTTTTTTTGTAATTTTAACATTTTTTTCATATTTAAATTACTTGTTTCTGTCCGTATTGTACAGCAATAATCAAAGAGAGGAAGTACATATCCATTATAAAATAAACATAAACCTTTTTGTGGAATATAATGCTTCAATCGATTAAGTAAACCTAGTCTAGTTGAAATTACAGTACATACTTTGTTTATTTATTGATTCCATGAAAGACAATCATCGATTAAAATGCCAAGTAATTTTTCACTGTTTCTTGTATGCTTTGAAGCTTCCTTTGTGATCCAACCAACATAGATTTGGATTTTTTAATATTTAAAACCATATCATTATTTTCACACCATATTTTAAAAGTTGCTATTTCGTCATTAAGTTTATCACATATATCATCAACGGAATTTGAAGAGTATTTAAGTGTTGTGTCATCCGCATACAAATCAGGTTTTGTGTGATTTAGTTGAAATGGGAGATCATTAATATATAAAAGAAATAATAAAGGGCATAGAATACTGCCCTGCGGTACACCAAATGTGACTTTTTCCCTGAAGATATGTTGGTATTTATTTTTACTTTTTGAGACCTGTTTGATAAATATGATTTTAACCATTTAAAAGAAAGAGAATCAAACTTACACATTTCTAATTTTGATAATAAAATTGAGTGATTTACAATATCGAAAGCTTTTTTAAAATCTAAGAATAAAGCTCCCGTGTAGTTTCCTTGGTCCATGTTAATTAACAATTCTTCCACAATTTTCGTTAGAGCTGAGTGACAGGAATGGCCGTGTCTAAACCCAGACTGGTACTTATAAATCAAATCAAATATTTGTAAATTTGGGAATAAATAATCTTTTCAAACATCTTTGATAAATTTGGAAGTACAGATATTGGTCTATAGTTGTTCATATCTTTTACGTCGCCACTTTTATGGATAGGTGATACGCTTGCACATTTAAAGGTCGATGAAAATGTACCTGTACAAAGGCTTAAATTAAAAATATGCGCAACAGATTGAAATATTATTGGAGCACTTATTTTTAGAATTTTAGGACCAACATCATCCAAACCCGTATATTTATCAATTTTAACTTTTAATAGTTCATTAAAGACTTCTACTGGAGACAAACAATGAAATTTAAAATAGTTGTCACCAACGTTTTCTTCAATAAACTCTTTTAACTTTGGGGATTAGAAATTTGATTTGGGGTTAGGAATAATTGATTCAGCTACAGTACTAAAATGCTCATTGAACTGTTCTCAAACTTTTCCTGTTATTGTGCATTTCGACTCTGCATTTAAATCTTTGAGATGTTTCCAGATTTCACTAGTTTTTGAATTAGAATGTACAGCTTTGGAGAAATAGTCAGTCTTACATTTATTTATATGGACGGATAGCTTGTTTCTAAATAACTTGTAATTAGGTCTTTCCATTATTTTGTGGAAAGACCTATTGTATTTTTGTTCTGATTATTTGTTTTCTTCTTCCGCCAAATTTCAAAACTTGTTTTGTGGTTTCGCAAGATGTCGCTTCGATTTTTTGCATATGATATCGAACAGTTATTGCGCGTTTGAGACTGACCCTGTTTAGTCGAAGACTTTTCATTGTAAGAGTTATCTCCCCAAACACTGTTTTCTTTGTGGTGAGATCTCCTCCGTAACCGTAAAAGAAAGCGACAAATTTATTTCACTAAATTGCTCGTTATATCCTCAGGATGATTTGTCAAATTTTAACCGAATCAATTCGTAGACTCCATATGACAGTTATTTCCCCTTTTGAATTTGACATAAGTGATATGTCAATGTATCACATGAATGGTGAGTAATACAGACCTAAGGTACGTGTATTTGAGGTCCTGGGTTCATAAAAATAAATTTGAGGTCAAGGTCATGTTCTAAATTTTGACTGTTCATTGTTCCGATATCTCCTCCGTAACCGTAAAAGAAAGCGACAAATGTATTGTACTAAATTGCTCGTAATATCCTAAGGATGATTTGTCAAATTCAACCGAATCAATTTGTAGACTCTATATGACAGTTATTTCCCCTTTGGAATTTGACATAAGTGATATGTCAATGTAACACATGAATGGTAAGTAATACAGACCTAAGGTACGTGTATTTGAGGTCCTGGGTTCATAAAAATAAATTTGAGGTCAAGGTCAAAGGTCAAGGTCATGTTCAAAATTTTGACTTTTCATTGTTCCGAGATCTCCACCCGTAACCGTAAAAGAAAGCGACAAATTTATTTTACTAAATTGCTCGTTATATCCTAAGGATGATTTGTCAATTTTAACCGAATCAATTCGTAGACTCCATATGACAGTTATTTCCCCTTTGGAATTTGACATAAGTGATATGTCAATGTATCACATGAATGGTGAGTAATACAGACCTAAGGTATGTGTATTTGAGGTCCTGGGTTCATAAAAATAAATTTGAGGTTAAGGTCAAAGGTCAAGGTCATGTTCTAAATTTTGACTTTTCATTGTTCCGAAATCTCGTCTGACAATCTTAGAGATATATTCAAAAGAACTAGTGCAAAATGTTTGCCTCATTGTGATGAAGATATGATATATTTGGTCAGAAACAATCCAATGACATCTTATAGGAGTTATTGTCCCTGAAATGATTCAATTTAAGGTTAATTGATTATTTTTCCAACTTGGTACATGATAAAGCCATAGGGTCTTTTTCAAACTGTTGGTTGACATATGACCTTGAAAAATATCAACCGGAAGTGACCATGAGTAAACCGGAAGTAGCCATATTTGCACTTATTTCATGGAAAAGTACCTAGAAACTATGTTTTTTAAATATTATTATACATACACAACCTAATCATTTGAGACCGGAAGTGACCTTCACTTTACCGGAAGTACCTTATATCTCCATTATTACAGGGAAAAGTATATAGAAACCATATATTTTTGGAATCAGTGTAAATAAAGCTATCATGTGAGACCGGAAGTGACATTTTTTAAACCGGAAGTTGACAATTATCTCCCTTATTTCAGGCAAAAATATATAGAAACATTTATTTTCTGAATCAGTATGAAGAAACCTATGCTTGGACGCCAATAGTAACTTTGAGTAAACCGGAAGTAGCTTCTCATCAATAATTTAGAAAATTGATGTGGAAAGACCTTCAATTGTCCTCTGAACTTTTGGTTTTTAATTTTTTAAATCTTTCTTTTTATGATAAAAGTCTCTTTTAGCACGTAGTTGATTTATGTCCTGATTTAACCACTTCGGTTGAGACTTTTTCTTTACTCTTTTCGTTATTATTGGAGCATGTTCATTTAAAACGTTTAATAATCTAGAGTACCATGCATCCAATGCATGTTCTGGATCATCAAAATAAAGTATTTCATTAAAATGTTTAGCCTTTAAATCTTCTACATACTTTTCTTGATTAAATTTATTTAAGTTTCTATATTTTATTGTGACATGCTTATCTACTGATGTTTATAAAGCAGGCTTTTTAATAGTAAAACTTACAGGGTAATGATCTCCCGGACAATAGACAGGGACATTTACATCTGTAATTTCCTCAGGATTTGTAGAATATAAATGATCTACAAGTAATAGCTTTTCTAAAAAGCTAGCCGTCTTTAGCTGATGAAAGTGGAAAATGTTTTCGCTTTGTAGTTTAATTCATTCAAAATAGCCTTGTTTATAAATTGTAGTGGATTACAAAACTTACAAAAGGCTTAGACATGTCCATTGTAGAAGATCGTATGTTGAACTTTAGAAGTATATTGGGTTTTTTTGTTTGTTGTTTAATTGGGTTGCTTTCTAAATACATTATGTATACTTACATGTATTGTCTTTGCTCATTGTTGAAGGCCGTACGGTGACCTAGCTAGAGTTGTTAATTTCTGTGTCATTTTGTCTCTTGTGGAGAGTTGTTTCATTGGCAATCATACCACATCTTCTTTTTTATATTCACATCTCCTTTTAAATCATGCATACATATTAAATATTGCTTAAAATATGCTAGCATACATGTATAATTGCTTTACTCGTCTGAGAGTAGTTTTTTTTATTCTTCTTATCGTATTTCCCCTTTTTTTTGGTCTTCAGTCTGTTCTTCAACGTCTGCTATCTTGATAGGAAGAGGTAGGCAGAGCTAGACAACGTCCTACCCAGCCAAATCCCGATCCCCTAAAGATCTTGTGGCATGTGGAGGGGGCACTTATTATAATGAGCGGAAGAGATGAGCCGCTGGTAGAGAAATTTAGGTGATTCATATGTATATATAAGAATGATTGTGAATCTGAAACTAATCAGATGTCGATATTTTTTGACAGATGCAATTAAAATTACTGTCGTTAATTTTAAGATATTTGTCAAAACTATTTATCTCCCCATGAAATAGCGTAACAATACTAGCTATATGTAGGTACAATTATTCAGTTGTCCGAACATCCGGGCATTTTTTAAATCAGTGATCCCCCTTTCTTAGTAACGCCGATTTTTGTTGGTAAGGCGGTGAAACATTGTTAGCTTATCGTGTTAAGAGAATAGTCTTGATTGTTAACTTTTGATAGATTTTCACCTTGAATGAATCGGTGTATGCTTTTTTCATGTAAATATCCTAGTATGATGTAGAATGTAAAAATCATAACTTGCCAGTTAAAAAGATTATAAATCATTTACGCTAAAAATGAAGCCATGCACGTATTTCCGACAAAGTCTATCACTTTCCTGTGTATAATCTTCAGAAAAATAAATTGAAATTATTCTTATTATTTCATTTACTTTTTTTGTCTTTCTACTGTAGTACATACGAAGTGGGCTTGCCACGTCAGAACAAAAAATCACAAAAAAAATATACAGAATATTAGGTGCGATATTTTAATTTGATTACAACTGTCCGGTTATTTCGGTATATTCCGTAATTACGATCAATTACGAGGTATCAAAAATTTGATTGAACCTATGCATCCATATGACATGTCGAGTTAATTAACAGATACCTAACGATTTTGCGGCATCGCACTATAAACGTTTGAAGTCGGTTTGTTGCAGTTCCTGTCAATATAATACTATTACTTCCATGTTCATACATACAACTTTTGCAAATATGGCTTTGTTCAAACACTTCTAGTTCATATATTAGCTAAATTTATGTTAGATATATAGTTAGAGATGATACTGTTGTGACAAGATTTCTAAACTGACCATTTGAGGTAGAAATTGTGATGAACTTTCATTGACAAATAGGCATACAGAAAGATGTGGACTGGAGACAGAGGCAGGATTGGATACTTTATATAATCTTGAATGTTGGAATGATTAACTGCTAAACATTACATTCAAAGTATTCTGAAATGCTTTCAATTTGTTATCAGAATAGTTTCAAACAGGTTTTTGAAAACATGCAAATAGGGTAAGCTGGCAATAATTAAAGTCTTGTTTTCAAATTCTTTTAAAAATTGAAACAGGAGTGGGGGTACACAATGTACTGTAAAAGAAACCTTAGAGTATATGCAGTGATTTCTTTAAGGCTATAATTCTGATAGATAAGTATTGTTGTGAGAAAAAGTGTTTTTAGAGAGTTTTCTATTTGAATAAATGTTAGTACATGTATATTGGGTGAAAAAAGAGAACTTACAGAATTTCACCAAATCTGGTTTATCTCAGAGATTTTAATGAAATTAACTCAAATATGAAGTTTTATAAATATTTCATGAAGATTTAGAAAATCCTGGGGCTTAACTATGATGACTCAGCATAAATTCAGAGTTAACAGTATGCATAGTTTACTTACAGCCCTGAATGCAAAATAAATTCATAATATATGCATATTTGTAATTTAAATTGTTTAGAAGTGCTTATATTTACTCTTCGCAGTCATTGAAACTCATAGATCCTTCCTGAACATTATTTGTAGGGTGTTTTTGTCCTGTTGGTAACCAAAAGTAAGCTGGAACACCTTAATGTACATTTTTGTGACTGCGGCATAAAAAAATACAAGCTAGAAATACAAAAAATACCTGAATTAAACTTACAATAGTGTGTTCTATCCTAAATATGTTCTAAATATTCCATATTGCTAGAAACAGCAGAATAATTTAGGAAATTTGAGGCCCCAGGGGCAAAAAACAGAGAAAAAAAGCCTACCCCCTGGGTCATAAAACAAATTATTTAACTTGTAAATGCTATGATTTTATTCTATAAAGGTCTGTTGTATAGAAAACAGTAACTGTGCTTGGAAGTTATGCAAAAATCAGATGTTAGCAGTAATTTCTATAAAACTTTTAGTGAATTCATACATCAGACTGGTATCTTCATACATACAACTTTTGCAAATATGGCTTTGTTAAAACACTTCTAGTTCATATATTAGCTAAATTATGTTAGATATATGGTTAGAGATGATACTGTTGTGACAAGATTTTTAAACTGGCCATTTGAGGTAGAAATTGTGATGAACTTTCATTGACAAATAGGCATACAGTAAGATGTGGACTGGAGAGAGAGGCAGGATTGAATACTTTATATAATCTTGAATGTTGGAATGATTAACTGCTAAACATTACATTTATAGTATTCTGAAATGCTTTCAATTTGTTATCAGAATAGTTTCAAACAGGTTCTAGACAATTCATGTCAGAAAACATGCAAATAGGGTAAGCTGGCAATACTTAAAGTCTTGTTTTCAAATTCTTTAAAACATAGAAACAGGGGTGGGGGTACAAAATGTACTGTAAAAGAAACCTTAAAGTATATGCAGTGAATTCTTTAAGACTATAATTCTGATAAATAAGTATTGTTGTGAGAAAAAGTGTTTTAGAGAGTCTTCTATTTGAATAAATGTTAGTATATTGGGTGAAAAAAGAGAACATACAGAATTTCACCAAATCTGGTTTATCTCAGAGATTTTAATGAAATTAATTCAAATATGAAGTTTTATAAATATTTCATGAAGATTGAGAAAATCCTGGGGCTTAACTATGATGACTCAGCATAAATTCACAGTTTACAGTATGCATAGTTTACTTAAAGCCCCTAATGCAAAATAAATTCATAATATATGCATATTTGTAATTCAAACTGTTTAGAAGTGCTTATATTTATTTCGCAGTCATTGAAACTCATAGATCCTTCCTGAACATTATTGGTAGGGTGTTTTTGTCCTGTCGGTGACCCAAAAGAAAGCCATAACACCTAAATATGCTTTTTTGTGACCGCAGCATAAAAAAAACAAGCTATAAATACAAAAATACCTCAATAAAACTTACAATAGTGTGTTCTATCCTAAATATGTTCTAAATATTCCATATTGCTAGAAACAGCAGAATAATTTAGGAAATCTGAGGCCCCAGGGGCAAAAAACAGAGAAAAATGCCTACCCCCTGGGTCATAAAACAAATAATTTAACTTGTAAATGCTATGATTTTATCTCAGAGATTTTAATGAAATTAACTCAAATATGAAGTTTTATAAATATTTCATGAAGATTGAGAAAATCCTGGGCTTTAACTATGATGACTCAGCATAAATTCAGAGTTTACAGTATGCATAGTTTACTTAAAGCCCTGAATGCAAAATAAATTCATAATATATGCATATTTGTAATTTGAATTGTTTAGAAGTGCTTATATTTACTTCGCAGTCATTGAAACTCATAGATCCTTCCTGAACATTATTGGTAGGGTATTTTTGTCCTGTCGGTAACCCAAAAGTAAGCCGTAACACCTAAATGTGCTTTTTTGTGACCGCGGCAAAAAAAAATACAAGCTAAAAATATAAAAATACCTCAATAAAACTTACAATAGTGTTTTCTATCCTAAATATGTTCTAAATATTCCATATTGCTAGAAACAGCAGAATAATTTAGGAAATTTGAGGCCCCAGGGGCAAAAAAAAAGAGAAAAATGCCTACCCCCTGAGTCATAAAACAAATAATTTAACTTGTAAATGCTATGATTTTATTATTTTAAAGGTTTTTTGTATAGAAAACAGTAACTGTGCTTGGAAGTTATGCAAAAATCAGATGTTAACGGTCATTTCTGTAAAACTTTTAGTGAATTCATACATCAGACTGGTATCTTCATACATACAACTTTTGCAAATATGGTTTTGTTAAAACACTTTTAGTTCATATATTAGCTAAATTATGTTAGATATATGGTTAGAGATGATACTGTTGTGACAAGATTTCTAAACGGACCATTTGAGGTAGAAATTGTGAACTTTCATTGACAAATAGGCATACAGTAAGATGTGGACTGGAGACAGAAGCAGGATTGGATACTTTATATAATCTTGAATGTTGGAATGATTAACTGCTGAACATTACATTTATAGTATTATAAATGCTTTCAATTTGTTATCAGAATAGTTTCAAACAGGTTCTAGACATTTCATGTCAGAAAACATGCAAATAGGGTAAGCTGGCAATAATTAAAGTCTTGTTTTCAAATTCTTTAAAAAATTGAAACAGGGGTGGGGGTATAAAATGTATTGTAAAAGAAACCTTAGAGTATATGCAGTGATTTCTTTAAGGCTATAATTCTGATAAATAAGTATTGTTGTGAGAAAAAGTGTTTTTAGAGAGTTTTCTATTTGAATAAATGTTAGTATATTGGGTGAAAAAAGAGAACATACAGAATTTCACCTTTCTTTCTTTCTACAGGTATGAATCGCCGTTCCAGATCGGCGCACTCCTACATAGTAGGATGGCTAATGCGCTATATACAAATATACACCGCACCC